ATAACATATATTGTTGGTCTCCTTTGGGTAAACACAACAATATATATCATTATCATAAGTCGAATGTCATTCAACACTTAATGAGAAATTAAATAAACTTCATCTAACATACATAGTATCTTTGGATATCTACATACGCTAGACAAATGATATCATATTTCTCCTTAATGCTTATTAGTTATAGAACATTGATTCACCTTTGGGTAAATCCATAATTTCTAACAACCAATAAAATCATTATCTTAAATAATGACACTCTCAAGAGAACATGAGGTATATGACCAAACATTAGAAAATTAATCCGGCCACTTTGGTGACTAACAAATTAATTTTTCTCTCAATGTCATATACATTCACTTGTAACTATAATATTATATGACCGGACATTAAAAATTAATTAGGCCACTTTGGTGACTAACAAATTAATTTTATCATAATGTCATATAATAAAATTATAACCATAAATTATATGACCGAACATTATAAATTAATTAGGTCACTTTGGTGATTAACAAATTAATTTTTCTTAATATCATATAATACAGTAAACATCACAATAATCAATTTCGTGTTATACACCGTCATAAGACCAGCATGCCAGCAGTTTAATCCAACAATAAATAATCGTACGTAATTTCATCACAAAAACATTCAAAATTCATTCAGGGAGTGGTTGCCATGGAATTTCATCAACCAGGACATAATCCAATCATTACAATCATACGTGATTTTCAAAATCAGCAAAAGGAAAATAAATCCCATTCTGCCACTACGAATCAGAGGACCACTCAAATTATATATCATATTGAGGCCATGAAATTATATTTGCAGAAGCATAAAGCGCCATCAACATAAACCGGAAACGCAATCATCATAGAATAATTGATGTGACCAAAAGAAAGAAACATTCGCCGAATTGGTTTTTCCGAACAAAACAAGTTTTCGGCCAGTTATATCAATGAATCATAATTTACAACAAATTATTCATTCATAACACATGCTCTGATACCACATGTAAACATCATTAAGGATCTTGAATAAATAATTTGGTGTACATATAATACTTACTTGATGCGGAAGACGACATAATATGTGATCTTGATCTTGATGATCACAAGAGGTTGAATCGAGTGTTAGATCTAAATCATTTTTTCCCTCCTGACTGTTCCTTAACGTAGCAGAAAAGTGATGGGATTATACTGCGTACCCTAATAGGAGGAGAGAGGACTAATTTATATATAGGTGTCTTTAGATCTGGTACGTCCATCAAATATCTAGATTAATGGCTTAGATTTGTTTAACTATTAAATAAGGTCTGGCCCAATAGGATAATTAAATGTGAGCCCAATGCTTTCGGGCCACATATTCTTACAGGTTGGCGTTTCATCGGTTGAGGGTTGTGGCTCGGAGTTTTGTTCTTGGGGTGCTGGCCCAGTTAGGCACTAGATAGTTTTTGGAGCAGCTACTGGAGCGCAGTCCGATCCGGTTGCGTGGTCGGTTGTGGGGCCGTCGACATGCTTCTTGGTGTGTCACGGCTGTGGGAAGGGCTGATTCTTTTTTTAGTTTAGTTAGGTTTGCTCGTGTTTGTGTTGTTGTTTTAGGTCGTGTTTTATTTTTTCTCTCTCGTTGGGAATGTGTTCGGTGTATTCTCTACTTGTGGTAGTTTTTGTTAGTCTTCTTCTAGGAGTTTTTTTTTTTTTTTTTTTTTTTTTTTTT